CAAATTTAACGCAAACTCAATAAAAAATTTTACCAAAGTTTTAAAAAGGGAATTGACAGGCTGGTTCTAAAATTCATGTGAAAATTTAATGGATCTAGCTGATAAAAACAACTTTGAAAAAAAGGTCAAAGTTAGAGAACAAACACTACCTGACTTCAAGACTCTTTACAAACCTACAGTAATCAAGAATATGCTATTGGCATCAAGGTAGAAAAGCAGATCAAAGGAACAGAATAAGGAATCCAAAACCTACCAAATCTACACGGACAACTGTTTTTTTTTTTTTTGACAAAGATGCAAAGGCAATTCAGTGGAGCAAAGATAGTCTTTTCAACAAATTGTGCTGGGAGAAGTGGTCATCTATATTCACAAATACAAACAGTGATCCAAATATCATACTATACACAAAGGTAAACTCAACTCAAAGTGGATCATAGATATACATATAAAACCTAAAACTGTAAGACTTCTACCAGAAAACACAGGAGAAAATCCTTGTGACTTTGGGTAAGGTAAAGACTTCATGAGTGAGACAAAATTACAATCTGTAGGTGAAGAAATCAATAAATTAGACTTCCTGAAAGTTAAAAACTTTGCTCTTCCAAAGATACTGTTGACAAGCCCTTGTTTGGGAGAAAATGTATAGAAACCATTTATCTGGTAAAGGGCTTATATCCAGAATACAGAAAATCTCACAAAACTCCTTAAGAAAACAGACACTCCAATAAATAAATGGACAGAAGAGTTGAAAAGACACTCCACTAAAGAAAATATACAGATGTCAAATAAGCACATGAAAAGATATTCAACTTCATTAATAATTAGGGAAAGAAAACGAAAAGTACAGTGAGAGACTATTTCATTCCAGAAGAATGATCAAAATTTAACACTGACCATACCAATCACCGGCAATTTTCTGGAAGCTGAAACCCTGCTTCCAGTGAAGAAATCAATAAATTAGACTTCCTGAAAGTTAAAAACTTTGCTCTTCCAAAGATACTGTTGACAAGTCCTTGTTTGGGAGAAAATGTTTGGAAACCATTTATCTGGTAAAGGGCTTATATCCAGAATAGGATATATCCAGAAAAGGGCTTATATCCAGCTGAAACACTGCTGGTTGGAATGAAAAATGGTACAACCACTTTGAAAACAGTTTGGCCATTTCTTACAATGTTAATCTTACCTCTACCACATGGTACAGGGACTGAACTCCTAAGTATTGACCCTTGAAAGAGAATGCATATTTTCACAAAAAGACTTATTCACAAATGTTCATAGCAGCTTTATTTACAAGAGCCCCAAATGAGAAACAGCCAAAATGTCCATCGACAAATGGATGGATGATAAAATGTTTAGTGTGGTTGTATACTGCAATAGCATTTAGCAATCAAATGAAGTATATCAATGGATAAATGTAATAAAATGGATAAATATAAAAATAAGTAGAGTGAATAAAAAAACCCAGGTGTTGATCAAAAAAAAAAAAAAAAAAAAAAGAAACCACCTCTATGATTCCATTTAAATATATTTCTGGACATGTAAAGTAATGTATAGTGACAGGCATGCTGTGTTTACCTGGGGGCAAGACAGTGGGAAGGGTAGGTAGGCCAGCTACTAAAGAACTGAAATTGTGATGTCCTGGGAAATAATAATGGTATTTAGAACAATCTAGTTATCTTAGTGGACATAGCTGGGTATCATTATAATAGGGCAAACTACATTGCAATTATTAATTTTGAAAATGCTAAATTCTTGTACCTGACATTTTGATATTTTTAGGTAGCACTTAATTTCTGGCTTCTTAAAAATTTCATTATAGAACAGACAAAAATGTAGAAACCATGGAAGAATGCATACTATAATCACAAATTGCTAGGAAGATCTTCTAACCTTCTAACTGCATAGTTCAACATCCATCAGATAAATTCATGGGCATCACTGACAACTATTCATACAGGCAGAAAAGGTATGTAAATTTGTTGCAAATACATGTTACACATCAAGTTCCCTCCTCAAGTGAACAATTCATTGCTTTATGATAAAGTAAGGCATCTCTCAGATGGGAATCAAGGTTACTACAAAAAGTAGTTTCTCATCTTCTGGGCTATGTTGTGAACCTCACAGGAGCTATTCCACAACACGGTTTTGTTCAGATCTATGAACTCACTAGAATCAGGCATCATATCCTACTAGGGAGGGAAGTGCCAGGGGTCTCCTGAGGACAGCTGCCCTTCAAATCCTGAGTAGAAGCTTCAGCACCCATTACATCTCAGATCCTGAGAACGAACCTCCTTCAGACCCTTAATATAAGTTCAGACACAGGCATGAAGAGTTGCACAGGGAGAAAGAGAATCCAGCCATTATTGTATATTCTTGGAGTAACTCTGTGCCTGGCACCATACTAGGCACTGGGTTAGTGACTAATGACACTGATAAAATTGGGTAGTGATCATATCCAGAAGGTACAACGGGTTTCTCACCAGGGCCTTTTTCTTCTTTCCTTATCTATCCCCTAACAACAAATCTGAAAAGGAATAAAAAGAGGCCTGAATTCATGTAAACATTCCTGATCCCACAATAACCACAGGGCTATGGTCTTGTACTTGCTTTATCATGGTAAGTTCCAGAAATTCTGTGGGTGAGCGTAATTATCCCCATTATACAGAATGGGACACTAAGTTCAGTCTTTGCCTGTATCATCCTCCCACGCCCCTCCTTTACGTGGGAAGTAGCCCTGAGACACCCTGGAACAGGACATCACACTCCCTGGGGCCAGGAGGGACCCACCTCTCTTTCTCACCAGAGAGCCAGGGCACCGAGTCCCAAAGCAAGAACAAGGAGACTTGGTTGGAATCCCTTGTCTTTCCACACCCCGGGGCAGTTCAGTCCTACATCTTCAGCTGAGTCTCAAACACCTGAAGGCAACCCTGCTTTTTTCACCAGGCCATGTAAGTCTCCATTGAAAAGTCGTTACAGTCACCCTTATGATGTCTGGTTTCTATGGCAACCGAGATGTATAGGCTTGTCCTCCACACCGGAAATGCTGCCTCCATAGTGCCCTGTGTCCTCTTGCCTTTCTGGGAAAGCAAAAAACCTTCTCTCTTCAGACTACCACCTGAGAAAGCTTACCAATAAAAGGAACTAGACAGGGACCCAGGCAATTGGTGGAACTCTGCCCTCATTTGATAAAGGACAGAAGTCCGTGTTGTTGGGAATTTTGTTTGCTTTAAAACTGACCTTGAGGGAATATTATCACTACATAGAGAGCCAGGGAGGTATCCTAAGGCTCTAGACGATGAGCTAGCCCTGAGGGAGGGAACATGTACAACTCATACACCATGCTAGGCAGTTAGGCATCTGTGGCAGAAAACTGAGAGACTGTTTATAATCATATGACTAAACAAACTAGCGACACCAAAATATGTCGTTTAAGCTATCTCTAAGTTATTTCAGGGAAGCAGGCTTAGAATAATATAGTCATTTAGTAGGCAAAAACCTAATCAATTCAATCATACGATGGTTTATCTTGACAAAGTCTTTTCCCCCCATCCCAGTATTTTATTCCATGTGAATGGACATTCACAACCAAAACATTTCTAGCCTCTCTGCACACTCCTTTGGGAGGAGAAACATGCTGCTCAGCTGGAGTCCTTCCTTCAAAACTCTTCGGAGTAAGCTGCCTTTCAGAGACACTCACTCTGCTCTGCCAACAGGAGGGATCTTACAAGAGGCCCACAGTTCTGTTCTTTCTGTGTCTCGCTGGCTCCCCAACTATTCCTATGGTCTTGCTTTACAATGCTCGAATATATTTTTTAAAATTTTTCTTGAGATGGAGTCTCACTCTTTCATCAGGCTGGTATGCACTGGCGTAATCTTGGTGCACTGCAACCTCCACCTCCTGGGTTCAAGCAATTCTCCTGCCTCAGCTTCCCAAGTAGTTGGGATCACAGGCATGTGCCACCATGCCCAGCTAATTTTTGTATTTTTAGTAGAGACACGGTTTCACTATGTTGGCCAGGATGGTCTCGATCTCTTGACCTCGTGATCCGCCTGCCTCAACCTCCCAAAGTGCGGGGATTACGGGCATGAGCCACTGCGCCCAGCCTACAATGCTTGAATCTTTAAGGGCCTCTCAGCTCCCACCAAGTACTCCACTGCTCCAAGTCTTAGCACTAAACCAAGATACGTAATTTTAAAACTACATGAGCTTTATTTCTTATAAAGGTGATATTGGAGAATATGACTTAGATTTGCTGTCACATGGGCTATGAAAGAGCTGCAGAATCGACAGTGTCCACCTAGCAGTGCTGCATTGGGAGTCACAAATGCCAAGGATTGCAATGCATAATGACCTGTTGTCTCCTGAAGGAGCCCTGTCCATGTATGTTCAAGAAAAGTGACTTTCTTGCCAAGGGCTATCCCTGTAGCAGGAGAAATGTGAAGAAATATCCCTTGTTTGGAATCATAACTCACTAAGCCAACCTCTGAGGTTTTTCTTATGAAGTGGTTTGTAGCAACACACTCTCAGCACCTTAATTTACATGACTGTAGTAGAGGCTCATCTTACGGTATTATGCTCCAAATTCCAATGGTAGTGGAAAAATTACACATTGTGAAAATTTCCATTGGAAATCTCTTCAAGTAGGAATCAATGACATGTCCTATCAATGGACATCTCTATCCATTTATCAATGACAAACCTCTATCCACATATAAACCAACACTCAGATTATAGTCAAAATTATAACTAAGTTCCACCAGCCCTTTCTTATTCAGTAACAGATCACAGAAAAAGAGGGAAAGCTCACCAAAACCCTAATGTTTTGCATATATATTTCTCCTTAACCACTAACCCCCAAAATAGCCATTTATTATCACTCAGGAGTCTGTGTGTTGACTGGGCTGAGCTGGGTGTTTTCTGCTTCATGGAGTATCTGTCACCTGGGGATGCAGTCATCTGGATGCTCCACATATCTGGGACATCCAAGAGGCTCACTCACATGGATGATGACTGGTACTGGTAACTTCTGGGAGCTCAGCTGGCGTTTTGCCTGGAACACCTTGGTTTGACACAGAGTCCTCCATGGGTAGGGTAGCCAGAGAAAATAGAAGACACTCAGTTAAATTTGATTCCAGATAAATAATGAATAATATTTTAGTGTGTGACGGTTATATTTATATGCCAACTTGGCTGGGCTAAAGTACACAGCTCATCAAGCATTATTCTGGATGTTTCTTTGAGGGTGTTTTTGAATGAGATTAAAATTTAAATTTCTGGATATTGTATAAAGCAGATTACCATCTATACTGTGGGTAGGCTTCATTTAATCAACTGGAAATCTGCATAGAAAAAAAAAAAGACTGACATCCCCTGAAGCAAAGGGAAGTGTGCTCGAAGATGGCATTTGGAATTAAACTGCAACATTGGTTCTTCACTGGTCTGCAGTCTGCAAACACATCCTGCAAATTTGCGACTTCCAGCTACCATAATCATGCTAGCCAATTCCTGAAAATACATCAGTCTCTCCCCAAACCCTCTATTTAGATAAATAGATACATACATATATACACATACTGTATTGGATATGTGACTCTGGATGTGGCATGCAATATTATTTTATTTGAATTCAACTGGGCATCTCATATTTTTATTTGCAAAATCTGGCAACCCTATGGGTGCAGCCTTTGGATGTGTAAGTTTTATTGACCTTCTGACACGACATTTCCAATGAGTCAAGTCTAAGGAAAATGAGCAGGTAAGACTGAAAAAAAGGAAAAAAGCCGGTAATACTTAGTGCTGGTGAAATAAAGGGGACAGACTTTCATATACACTATTGGCGCAGCATTGATGTATACACTTTCTGAGGCCCATATTATTACAGCTTAATGACTTGAATGGCCTTTGTGAAGAAGTCCTATTTCTACCAACACGGGAGTTTCAGCTGAGGGTTTAGAAAAGGCTCATCAAGGTGACTCTGATGTGCATCCTAGTTAAGAAGCCCTGGACGTGGGGGCAGGTCAAATTAATATATGAGATAGCTTCTATTTACGGAACAGAGTGTTTAGAGGGGCCTAGCTCCAGGTCCTTTATGTTAGTGTCTGGATTTGATCTCATGACAGCCCTGCTACTGAGGTACCAGTATCCTCTCTTCTTCATGGATGTCTGCGACTACAAAGCACATGCTTCTTACCACAGAGCTGGATGGCAAAAAATGTTGCTCAGCACGCCCACTGCCAGAGCCAGGCCCACTGCCAGAACCTGCCAGCTTGGGCACCTTGAGTTGCTGGTGGCAGAGCTTTAGCATGAGGACATATACTGTTAAGGAGTTTAATCTCTGTTCTCCTTGTGTTTACCCTTCCTGCATTTCTAGCAGAAAACCAGGCTTGGGCCTCCTTCCCTGTCTCAGGAAAGGTTTATAGCAGGGCTGGAAGCAGAAGCTGTCTGAAGCCAGTGTTTGCTTCATCCTGCATGAAAATTTAAACTTAAGGAAAGGATTGGGCTGCTTGTACCTGGCAGAGAGGGGAAGGGTTCTGAAGACACAGAGAAGGGAGAAGAGAGGTTTCTCCTGGACAGGGATGAGGTCAGAGGTCTACAGGTCCCTCTGGGAGTAGGGACCTGAGCACTGCTTCCTATCAATGTTGGGAGAAGCTCTGTATATAGTTCATCGAGGCTGGGCATCCATCCATGAGACAGATTCTCCTGTTTGGTTGGAAGGATGGATAGCTCAGGGTCGGGAAGAGGGGTGGGGCTGAAGGTAGTAAACCAGCTAGGGAAATGGTCAGCTCAGCCCTCAGCAGTGGGGACACATGTGTGATAATGATCTGCCATGCTGTATCTGGAGGATACATTTCCACAAATGGTTATTCTTTGTCAAAGAGCATGACTATTTTTAGCATATACTGTCTAGTTGAAAGTTAAAATCTCTTTACTAATGAATATCCCAACCAACTGCAAGATGAAAGCACCTGTTTCTCTAGATTTGTGCAGTAATGGGTTTCCCAATGTTATTAATATTTGCTAATGTAATATCCTATCACTGTAATGTTAAAATACTTTTCATTTTTCTCCACCTATTTCCATATAAATGGCATATTTCACACGTGCATTTCTAAATGCAAACATAACAGTCCCACTTTATGCCTTAGAATATGTCCTTGAATAGTCCTAGAGTCTGATGAGAAAACCTGATGAGTGAGTTTGTGTTTATGCTATGTCCTGTTTAAATGGAAATTGTGGAGTCATAAGAACGACATACACTGAAGCAGGAGAACAAAATGGTGGACTGTCTTTGCAGAGACACTGGGGAACATATATGAGAGAAGCAAGCATGGCCCCATGAACTCTTAAGTCTGCACTGCAGAGAGTCCCTGGCATGTGTGCAAGAATGGTCATGGCAGCGTGGCCAAAATATCAAAATAGCCCCAAAGTCACCTTATTAAAGACATCTCAGAAACATCATTTTCAGAAGAAATAATTTCAATAAGTGTTTGCTATGATTTGGATGTTTGACTCCTCTAAACCTCATGTTGAAATTTGATCCCCAATGTTGGAGGTGGGACCTAACAGGAGGTGTTTGGGTCAGGGGGGTGGATCCCTCATGAAAGTCTTGGTGCCATCCTTGCTGTGATGAGTGAGTCCTTGCTCTATTAGTTACCACAAGAGCTGGTTGTTTAAAACAGTCTAGTACCTCCCATCTCTCTTCTCCCTCTCTGGCCATGTGATCTCTGCACAAGTTAGCTCCCCATGGCCTTCCATCATGAGTGAAAGCTTCCTGAGGCCCTCATCACAAGCAGATGCCCAATCTTGAACTTTCCAACCATCAGAATTGTTAGCCACATAAAGTTTTTCTTTATAAGTTATGCAGCCTCAGATATTCCTTTATAGCAACACTAAATGGACTAAGATAGTGGTATAAAAATATATGGTTTATTCCATTTACCCATCAGGACAGCAGTGTGAAGAAAGTATGGTGAGTCCCATCTCACAGATGATCAAGCTCTGGTTCACAGAGACTAAGACCCTCTCCAGATAAGTGGCAGAATGGCAATGAGATTCTATCTCTTACCCTCCCACGCAATGGAACCAGCAGCTTCTTATTTGGAAGATGATAATTGTATACTTCCCCAGTATTGTTCCCTAAGGGTACTCACTCAACAGCCCTTCACATTGAGGAAGAGGATGGTGGAGATGAAATCCTGCCCTTTGGGCTATGAGGCATAGCTGTGGGGTCATATGGATTACCAGGTCTCTGAGGTTAACTGTGGGGTGAAATAAAGAAACATAACCTCATGTGGAACAAGAAATAACAACGAAGAGAACAGAAAACAGCAGGCCCTCCAGGGATCACCTCTACCTCTCTCTGTCTTTGCTTCCTTCCCCACCTCATTTGTCTCCCGCTCTGTGTGACAGTATGGGATGTACACAGGTATCCAAGGTACCCTGAGAGAGGACAGAATGATGGGAAGATCTAGACCATGAGAAGGGTGGATCATGCAGCACTAGTCCTGGGTGTTGGCTCACCCACCAGGTGCTCCATCTCTTCCTACTTCTGTGTGCCTCACCATCACTCTACCACACAGTAATGAAGCTCCCACATTAACAGAAATATGCACTCTCCAAGGGAGGCTAGCAGGGTAAGTGACTTAACCCTGAGACCAGAACATCTCACAGTTACTGGTTTGGGTCTGGCACCAATAATGCAGAGAGGTCTCTGGTCTCTCTTGCTCCAGTGTCCTGAACAGCAGAGAGTATGAGGCTTTCATCAAGCCCCTTGGGACTGCAAAGGAAACACACTTTTCTCATGCAGATGGCGGGTAATATAAGGGGACAGGAAAACCCACGAAACAGGAAGAAGTGTGGTGTGTGGTGACTTCATTCCCTTACCCCAAACTCCATTCACGGGGTCCATGATTCAGTTGAATAGAAGTGGTGGAATCCCCTTCTTCCCTTCCCCAGCACCATCAGGGCGCTCATTCCACCACATAGAAATGACACTGACTCACGGTGAAATTAGAAATGTGGGAGTGTTTTCCTTCTCCCAAATGCTCTCTAGTCACATGGAAAATAGTTACTATACACTAGAGAAACTTGACAAACCCCACCTTAATTAATTAACATCACCAGTGACATTAAGTAGGCCTCTTGACTACTAGATATAGTGTGACAAGAAGGGCACTTCAACTCAATGGTATTCTTTCTCGAAACACATAGTCCTGGTCTAATCACAATAAGAACAACTGGCTAAGCCTGTACTCCTCATGACTCTCAGGGTCATGAAAGTCATCTGGAAGTTCCTCAAATGGATAAGCAGGGAGTTACCAGCAATTCCACTCTTAGGTACATACTCAAGAGAAATGAAAACATAAGTCTACCTGAAAACTTGTACACAAATGTATGTCGAATTGTCATTCATATTAGCCAACAACTAGAAATAATCCAATGATTATCAACAGATAAATGGATAAAAAATGTAGTCTATTCATACAAGATTTTTCAGCCATTAGAAAGAATGACATTATGATGCAGGCTACACCATGGATGAACCTTGAGTATATATCATAACCAGGTGAAGGAAGCCAAACAATAAAGACCAAATATTGTATGATTCCATTTATATAAAGCATGTAAACAGGCAAATACATAGACACAGAAAACATTTGTGATTGCCAAGGCTGAAGCAGGAATTAACTGTATTCAAGCATGACAGGACTTTTTGAGGTAATGGAAATGTTAAAAGCTTAATTATGGTGATGGTAGCACAACTCTACACATTTACTAAAATTCATCAAATTTTACCCTGAAAATGGGTAAATTTCATTGTCTGTAAAGTATATTGCAAGAAAGCTGTTTAAAAATATGGTACTACAATTTTTATGGAGTATGCCAGCAAGACAGAACTGTTCACTCCCCTGGAAGGGGGCTGAAGCCAGGGAGCCAAGTGGTCTAGCTCAGTGGATCCCACCTCCACGGAGCCCAGCAAACTAAGATCCACTGGCTTAAAATTTTTGCTGCTAAGATCCACTGGCTTAAAATTCTTGCTGCCAGCATAGCAGTCTGAAGTCCACTTGGGATGCTCCAGCTTGGTGGGGGGAGGGGCGTCCACCATTACTGAGGCTTGAGTAGGTGGTTTTCCCCTCACAGCATAAACAAAGACACAGGAAAGTTCGAACTGGGCAGAGCCCACCACAGCTTGGCAAAGCCACTGTAGCCAGATTGCCTCTCTAGATTCCTCCTCTCAGGGCAGGGCATCTCTGAAAAAAAGTCACCAGCCCCAGTCAGGGGTTTATAGATAAAACTCCCATCTCCCTGGGACAGAGCACCTCAGGGAAGGGGTGGCTGTGGGTGCAGCTTCAGCCGACTTAAACGTTCCTGCCTGCTAGCTCTGAAAAGAGTAGCAGATCTCCCAGCACAACACTCGAGCTCTGCTAAGAGACACACTGCCTCCTCAAGTGGGTCCCTCTGACCCCCATGAGTCCTGACTGGGAGACACCTCCCAGCAGGAGTCGACAGACACTTCATATAGGAGAACTCCGGCTAGCATCTGACGGGTGCCTCTCTGGGATGAAGCTTCCAGAGGAAGGAACAGGCTGCAGTCTTTGCTGTTCTGCAGCCTCCACTGGTGATACCCAGGCAAACGGGGTCTGGAGTGAACTGCCAGCAAACTCCAGCAGACCTGCAGCAGAGGGGCCTGTTAGAAGGAAAACTAACAAACAGAAAGGAATAGTATCAACATTAACAAAAAGAATGTCCACACCAAAACCCCATCCAAAGGTCACCAACATCAAAGACCAAAGGTAGATAAATCCATGAAGATGGGGAGAAACCTGCACAAAAAGGCTGAAAATTGCAAAAACCAGAAGGCCTCTTCTCCTCCAAAGGATCACAACTCCTCACTAGCAAGGGAACAAAACTGGATGGAGAATTAGTTTGACAAATTGACAGAAGTAGGCTTCAGAAGGTGGGTAAGAACAAACTCCTCTGAGCTAAAGGAGCATGTTCTAACCCAATGCAAGGAAGCTAAGAACCTTTTTAAAAGGTTAGAGGAATTGCTAACTAGAATAAACAGTTTAGAGAAGAACATAAATGACCTGATGGAGCTGAGAAACACATCATGAGCACTTCATGAAGCATATGCAAGTATCAACAGCTGAACTGATCAAGCGGAAGAAAGGATATCAGAGATTGAAGATCAACTTAATGAAATAAAGCATGAAGACAGGATTAGAGAAAAAAGAATGAAAAGGAACGAACAAAGCCTCCAAGAAATATTGGAATATGTGAAAAGACCAAACCTATGTTTGACTGATATACCTGGAAGTGATGGGGAGAATGGAACCAAGCTGGAAAACACTCTTCAGGATATTATCCAGGAGAACTTCCCTAACCTAGCAAGACAGGCCAACATTCAAATTCAGGAAATACAGAGAACACCACAAAGATACTCCAAGAAGAGCAACCCCAAGACACATAATCGTCAGATTCACCAAGATTGAAATGAAGGAAAAAATGTTAAGGGCAGCCAAAGAGAAAGGTCGGGTTACCCACAAAGGGAAGCCCATCAGTCTAACAGCGGATCTCTCTGCAGAAACCCTACAAGTCAGAAGAGAGTGGGGGCCAATATTCAACATTCTTAAAGAAAGAATTTTCAATCTAGAATTTCATATCCAGTCAAACTGAGCTTCATAAGCGAAGGAGAAATAAAATCCTTTACAGACAAGCAAATGCTGAGAGATTCTGTCACCACAGGCCTGCCTTACAAGAGCTCCTGAAGGAAGCACTTCAGGAGTGGAAAGGAACAAGCGGTACCAGCCACTGCAAAAACATGCCAAACTGTAAAAACCATCAATGCTAGGAAGAAACTGCATCAACTAACGGGCAAAATAACCAGCTAACATCATAATGACAGGATCAAATCCACACATAACAATATTAACCTTAAATGTAAATAGGCTAAATGTCTCAGTGAAAATACACAGACTGGAAAATTGATAAAGAGTCAAGACCCATTGGTGTATTGTATTCAGGAGACCCATCTCATGTGCAAAGGCACACATAGGCTTGAAATAAAGGGAAGGAGGAATATTTATCAAGCAAATGGAAGCAAGAAAAAGCAGGTGTCACTTTATTTTTGATGAGTTTAATCTAATTGGCTGCATATTTTGTGACTTATTTATTTATATTTAGTACTGTCTTTTCAAGGTTTTTTTTTTTTTCCCCAGTCAATAAATTTGGACTTTGCACTTCTAACTAGCTTGATACAGCTCCAAACAAAGCTAAGAGTCTAGGTAAGCAGTCAATCCGGTTGTGGATTGTATTAGAAAAATGACTTCAGCAACTTACGTGGAGAGACTATGCTCAGGTTCCTGCATCCATAAAAATTGGTATAATAACACTCATTGCCCTTTTATTTTGCAGACATCATAAAGATACATACGACAATTAAAGGAACCCAAATATATGGGAATAAACATATAAACCTGAGGTAGGACTGTTATTATAATGATGGTAAACAATGGGCATATTCAAAATCTGAGTAATTAATACAAACTGTCCAAGACCATTTTTAAATATTGCATGCATATGGAAACTTGGAAAGCAAGAAGGAATCACAAGCTGGGACACTGGGAAAGTTTGAGAGTCCTAATCCTGCCAGAGGCACTGCAGGGTGTAGACACTTGCAACATTCCTGTCTGACAGCTCCCAGGTGAGTAGATACATTTGTGTCTTTCCCAGCAGCCTGTGCTGCTATTTAAAAACAGGCATGGTTCCTCTCACTTCTGGTAGGAGCAAAGGCCAGTGGCCTGATGGGACAAATAACCTTTCCTTCTCTGACCCCAGAAAATATCCATATTAATTGGAATTGAATATTGAAACGCACCACCTTTGCATAAGTCTAAAACTTGCAGCCTCTGGCTTCATTATGAGTCAGATGTCAAATGGGAAAGACAGTGGGTGGGTCCTGAAACAAGGCTTTGAGTGTTTTCTGCATCTCTGTGAGCAGCCAGGCTTTCTACTGCTTATACTATTAAAGTTGAATATAAAACTGTCATTTAAAAGAAAGTGAAAAAAGGATGAGTTTGTGCCCTTTGTACGGACATGGATGCAGCTGGAAACCATCATTCTCAGCAAACTATTGCAAGAACAGAAAACCAAACACCGCATCTTCTCACTCATAGGTGGGAACTGAACAATGAGATCACTTGGACTCAGGAAGGGGAACATCACACACCAGGGTCTATTATGGGGAGGGGGGAGAGGGGAAGGATTGCTTTGGGAGTTATACCTGATGTAAAGGATGAGTTGATGGGTGCTGACGAGTTGATGGGTGCAGCACACCAACGTGGCACAAGTACACATATGTAACAAACCTGCACGTTATGCACATGTACTCTAGAACTTAAAGTATAATAATAATAAAAAAAAGAAAAAAGAAGAAGAAAAAAAAATAAAAGAAAGTGACAGAGCATCTCTTTCCTTCCCCACTGTATTGTGGGTCCATTGACATTTCCACAGAGAAGTCTTCTTTGAAGTCCCCTTTCTGACAAGGTTTCTCTTCCAATTATATTCTTCTTCTTCAGCTTTGAATTTATTCTTGTTCATACTTATCTCAGTTGCAATTTTTCATTAATCTGCAGGATTATTTGATTAGTGCCTTCCTTGCCAACTGAAGAGTAAATTAGAATAAATCAGGGGCTATATTTATTTTTACTAGGGCTGCCATATTTATAACAGACAAACAAGTAAACAAATAAAATAAAAAACTACAGGACACTCAGCTAAATTTGAATTTCAGATAAACATAGAATAATTTTTAGTATAAGAATGTTGTTTATCTAAAATTCAAATTTAACTGGGAATCCTGTATTTTATCCTGCAACATTTTTAGCCACAGTTTACCTTCAGGGCTTATCACAGTATTAAGAACATTGTAAGAGTTCAATTAAAATGTCTTGAATGGATGAATGCCAGATTACAGGGAGGAAGGAAAGTATCATAACATTTTAGACAGTTGCAAATACATAAGATTGCATACTAGTATAATTATAATCCATTTCCAAAAACACTTCCTTAAAGTAAATTTTCAAAAGCCAGGAACAACCCATAGAGCTCACAGACAAAACTTTTACAGAGTAGTAGTCAGTAAAAATGTCATACCACAATTCCACCATCAACATATTTTCGATTCTCCTGATATCTAAACAGAAAAGGTAACAAAAATCATATACACATCACATAATTAACTAAAAACCACATTTGAACCAAAAAGACTCTCCTCATTTTTTAGTGTTGATTGAAATACAGTAGGCGAAACTTACAAAATATGTAGTTGTAAATAGAAACATTCACTAGAGATCAAAAGGTGTAGAAATAGCCAGGAAAAGTGGCAAATAACCCTCAAAAGATTTTGAGTGTACCTCAGATATTGTTCTTTGTCATCATTATTATAACTGTTTGACCTAATTGCTGTCTATAAATTAAAAAGCAGATTATTATCTTCTCAGCCCCTTTTCATGTTCTCTTTTCTTTCATTAATTTCAACAAATATTGAATGTCTATTGCGTGTAAGACAATGTCTAAAACAAAATAAAAATCTGTGTAAATGTGAAAAAAAATATGATACTGACCTGGTCTTCTGTTGTACCACAGTAATGACCAAACGTTTTCATACAAAAGAATTGATGCATATGTTTCATATAAAAATTAATGCATATAGGGCCGGGCAGGATGGTTCACGCCTGTAATCCCAGCATTTTGGGAGGCCAAGGCAGGCGGATTACGAGCTGAAAAGATCGAGACCATCCTGGTCAACATGGTAAAACCTCGTCTCTACTAAAAATACAAAAAATTAGCTGGGCGTGGTGGTGCATGCCTGCAGTCCCAGCTACTCGGGAGGCTGAGGTAGGAGAATCGCTTGAACCCAGGAGGTGGAGGTTGCAGTGAGCCGAGATCACACCACTGCACTCCAGCCTGGCAACAGAGCGAGACTCTGTCGCAAAAAAAAAAAAAAAAAAAAAAAAAAAAAAAAAAAAAAAGAATGCATATAAAAGAGTGCCTGTGTCCTACCCCTGCTGCCTCTGTCCTGTGTAACTCTAAGCAATGATCATTCCTCTTCCCCCTTCCCCTCATTGCTACATCAGGTTGTGCTTGTGTGCAAAATTTGATTGCATCTGATCACTTCCACGTCTTCCAATTATGGCAATGGCTTGAGAGCGGGTCCATGACAGAGTCCAGAACCCATCCTATGTGATAGGATGTCAGCATTAACTAATTTCTTCACTCCTCTGTGGCTGACCTCACATGCCTCCCCTTGGGGAGTCTAAATGGCACAACTCTATGTGTGCCACTATGTCAATACATATCAAAGGGTACACACCACTTACATAAACAATTTCCCTTGTAGAAATTCATCTTCAGAATGTAGTGAAGAATGTTCATAAGCATCTGGTTATAAGGACTGCCATCCTGATAATTCTCTTTTGTCACTTCTGGGCCTGAATTTGGGAAGAGAGACCAAATGAGACACAAACCCATGAAGGGGCAGAGGGAAATGTGGTTGTCAGCACACACACACATACACACACACACACTCTCTCACACAAACTGAGACATTTATCATGTTGTGTTGTATTTCTCCTAAGACAGCTTGCTGGACTCAAGGAAGACACATTCAACTCACTAGTGCAAATAGCCACAGGAACTGTGCCCGTAACTGTGCCCTTCAGCAGTGCACAGACTCTGAAAAGATGCCATCCACACAGTGTAGATAATATAACATGAGGTTGTGAAAATTGATTATGTCACATCCATAGGATGGAATTCCAGAAGGCAACGAAAACGAGTTATAATGAAAGTAATGATGAGACATGACTTCTTGTGCACCAAATTAATCATTCTCATTATTTCTAATGTGTGCAGAAACAGGTACTTTCACACTGTGATACAGGTCATATAAATTAGTAATAGTATTTTGAATTCATTATTAATATAAAATGTTATCGTTCAAAGGGCTTTAAAATGACTCAGGAACTTAGTATAAATAAATGCTTACAAACGTATTTGCATATACGTGAGCATGGCGTTAAGTACATTATTTTTGGTCATAGAAATGGTAAGGGAACTAAATTTTCATTGCTGTAATACTAGTGAAATAAATTTGAGGGCATCCACACAATGAAATACACAGTCCAAAAAAAAAAAAAAAATGAGATTTTGTGTTTAAGTATTTTAAAGTATACTCCCATGAAAAAATGGTTATAATAAGGGCAAACTTGGGTTACGAAGATGATAAAAGATCGGCATCCATTTTAGCTTACCCAGTTCTCCAGCTATTTATCCATATGTCTCAAAGCATTGAAAAAATATATTTATTATTCTGACATAGTTTTCTCTTCCACATAGTAAAAGGCTTCATTTTTTAAATGGAGGCTGTCGGTATTCCTACACACTGGGAATGCCCAATTTTCCACTCAGACTTCTAGAAAACTCTGTAGAGCGGGCTTGGGCCACAACTCCTCCCTCCCACTTTCCTACTGTGATGTTCAAGCTGCAGTTCAGGCTTCAGTCACGAGGGGGCACTATCATACTACCATTGTCAAACTTCTCCACAGCCATGTTTGCATGGAGCAAAAAAAATTCCTCACTTAAAACCTAGCGTATAAATTTACATACAGAATGGCTCTAATTCTATCAGAATAAAATTGATAAGTGTAAAAGATGACAGTAAAATCCTCTACTCTGCGGCATCCATAAGATAAAACATGAGATACCTCTAGTGCACACTGGCAACCCATGGCAGGCAGAATTATTGTAATTTGGTATATTTTTGAAAGTTTAGTGACTATGTATATTGCATTTTATGTGAATTATCTGTTCATATCTTTTGATGATTTCTCTCCTCATTATTAAGACTTCTTCCATATCAAGGATATTATGTATTAACCATTCTAAATCCTAAATAAATATAGATAGCAAATAAACATATGAACTAGTGAAAGACTATACAATTTGTGTTTAAAAGCAATACAACAGAATTGAACACAAATGAGCAATCATATCAATAACAGTAAATTGGCTTAACTCATCTATTAAAAGAAAAGTATTTCAGATTGCCTATTGAAGCAAAATCCAAAGCTATGCTTTTCCCAGTGATACATGTAAAACAAATGTATTCATATAGGTTAAGAATGTAAGGATAAATATACACTAGGCAGTTGACAATATAAAGAAAGTAAGGGTTACAATCTTGATAATTAAGAGAAAAAAACTGAGACCAAAATGGATTTAAAGAGACAAAAAATCACAGTTGATAAAGCCAAAGGCTACAATTCACAAGGAAGATGGGAGCTATTAATACTTACATATGCAGTCATGTGGTAAAAATATTGATAGAACAAAAAACTACAGTAGTGCAAAGAGAAGTAGGAAGAAGCACACCATTTAATAATAGATGATTCTACATTTCCTGTTATCCAAAAACGTTCAGGTGGAGAAAAATTTAGTAATTGTAGAGAAGACTTAAGCAACATAATTCCAAGAGTAGATCTTACAGATACACTTATTCTAAACTGTGAAGCCTAATATTAGGTAACACACCTACTTTTCATATAAACATGGATCATTCATGAAAACTGATTCTATCTGAGGCTGTTAAACAAAACTTGCGCCCAAATGGAAATAGATTAAAATTGCAGAATTTGGTGCATATAATCATAATGAAAACAGAGCATGTATGAATTTAGCTAGAGTAGCTATCAGAGACTATTTTAAAGCATTAAATACCGATATCAATAAAAATGAAAATAAATGAGTTAAACATTCAATTCAGAAAGCCTGATAAAAAACTACAATGTAAACTAAAAGAATGCAGACGAAAAGAATACTTAATGGTAAAATTAGAAGTGAATGTAAAGAAATAACATCTCAGCAGAGTTGGGATGAGAAGGAAGCAAACATTGGTGCTGTGAATAATGTGTCAAAAACTGTTCTGGGATCTGGAGGAGAGTTTCCCCTTAAATTCCTCACAATGCTCTCTTGAGTATAAGAATCAAGTTTGTGTGTGTGTGTGTACATATAGACATACGATGTTAAATTAGCTAGTTGGAGGACAAGAACACCTATAGTATTAATGTGTGTGTGTGGTTGTATGAAGACAAATATGCAAAAAAATATATATTTTGTCTAGGGATGTTCTCATATATAGGAAAGTAATAAAAAATATGTGGAATAAATACCGCATTCTGGATATTGATTAGGAGGGAAGAAAGGGCCATGGAGGAGTAAAGTTTTTCTTAACCTGGATTAATTTTATAGTTATCTATACACTTTATCTGAAATATTTCATAAGTAGCAGAGGTTTTAGGGGATATAGTGTTTTTTTTCATAAGTCTAATCCATACTCAGCAAAGGCTTAATATTGAGCCAAGTGGAGAAGTTAAAAATATCAGTCCCATCATAGACTGGGCGCAGTGGCTCACGCCTGTAATTCCAGCACTTAGGGAGGCCGAGGCAGGTGGATCACTTGAAGCCAGGAGTTCGAGACCACCAGCCTGGCCAATACAGCAATACCCATCTGTACTAAAAATACAAAAAAAAAAAAAAAAATTAGCTGAGTGGTCAATATGTTACATATATGCCATTTCCAATTAGATGCATTGTTTAAGAACTGAGGCTGGATCAACTGGTAAAGGGTTCATTGGGAAGCAAATTTGGGGCAAGGCATGGTGGCTCCTGCCTGTGATCACAGAACTCTAGGAGGCTGAGGTGGGAGGATTCCTAGACGTTGGGAGTTCAAGATGAGCCTGAACAACATAGTGAGATTCCATCTCTACAAAAATTTTTTTTTTAATTAGGCAGGAGTCGTGGCACATGGCTGTAGTCCCAGCTACTCAGGATGTCAGGTGTCTCACACCTATAATCCCAGCTACTTGGGAGGCTAAGGCAGGAGAATCGAATGAACCCGGGAGGCAGAAGCTGCTGTGATCCAAGATCACGCCACTGCACTCTAGCCTGCGTGACACGGCAAGACTCTGTGTCAAAAAAAAAAAAAAAAAAAAAAAAAATCAATCCCATCATGGTTGAAATTAACATTGGGCTATGTTCTTTGGGATTTTTTTGTGTATACATGTATGCACATGAACTGTACATACACTACATATGCAACTCATATAATTAATATACCATATATATAGTTCAGTACCCTGTCTTTTTTGTTATTTTAGTTTTCCTTTTACCTTAAGTACTAACATGTGGATGAGGCATTCTGGTTAAATTACAAGGTAAAAGACATAATACAACTTTGCTTTTTTTTTTTGAAGGTTCTTGCTCTGTCACCCAGGCTGTAGTACAGTGGTGTGATCACAGCTCACTGTAGACTTGACCTCCTGGGCCCAAGCAGTCCTCCCACCTCAGCATCCTGAGTAGCTGGGACTACAGCCATGTGCCACCACTCCTGCCTAATTTTTAATTTTTTTTGTAGAGATGGGATCTCACTAGGTTGCTCAGGCTCATCTTGAACTCCCGGGCTCAAGGAATCTTAACACCTTGACCTCCCAAAGTTCTGTGATCACAGGCAGGAACCACCATGACTTGCCCCAAATTTGCTTCCCAATGAACCCTTTACCAGTTGATCCAGCCTCAATTCTTGAACAATACATCTGATTGGAAATGGTATACATGTAACATATTGAATAATATTATATGTTTGGGTCTGTTCCTGAGATTTCTATAGAGTTCCTTTAATCTATATATCAAACACTCTGTCCAACAGTTATTTCATTATAGGTTCATGAAACGTAATACCTGACCATGTATTCCTACTCCTATTATTCACCCTTTTGATAGGTGAAATGAATAATAATAATAAAATATGCTAACAATTACAAGGTATATAGTATTAATAGACAAATTGCTTACTATAGATCATACAACCAAAAAGTGATGGTTCCCAGGGTCAAATTCAGAAACTTCTCACCCCAAGCCCACACCTCTAATCACTGTTTCTACACTGAGTGCTCCTCTGTGTTTGGGCTGAGGCCAACAAAGGGAAGGGACTTTCTCAAAGACCTGTGGTCAGTTGAGAGGTTTTGCAGCCAGGGCACAAGGTTAATGATTCTCATCTTCAGTCCAGCTGGCCCATTAATATTCCTGGATCTTCTGTACTATTTCTTCTTGGGGCTCAATAAGAATTCCAGAGGGATCATGGTGGATGGGAGGCAAGACTAGATTGCAGCTCCCACACGGACAGGCAGAACAGTGTATGGAGACTCGCATCATGTACTTTTGCTCCAGAACTACTGCAGAAATAAACCAGGAAAGCTGAGAGAACCCACAGACCTTCTGAAAGAAGATTTTTCCTGCAGGACCCAGGAGACACTCCACATACTGTGAGTGCCCAAGCTGTGGAAGTGGGAAAGGGGGATCATCTACCCCTGAACATACACCCTCACTGGGGAACCTGAAAGTCTAGATCATGGAAGAAGATTCTGACCTCACC